CCCTCACATTTCAGATGAAAAAACTAAAGCCAAGAGATGTTAAGTGTCTTACCTAAAATGAGACAACCAGTTAGTAGCACAAACTGTACTGGGCCAGAACACAGGTCCTGACATACTGTCTAGGTATTTCTCTATACCACACTACCTCCCTAACCTCCACTAGAAAGACTGTGTTTGTAAATACTGCATGAATTCTATACTAAATAAAGCTTTGTTCTTTTTTGCTTTAAAAGAATGTAACTAGAAAATCATCCTAAAATCCTGAAGATGCCTAACTAGGACTGTTCATTAAATTATCAAGTTAACCCATTAAAATTTCAAATACCCTTTATTCACATAAATCAAAGTATTACAAAGTTGCTACAAGAAGGATTTAAGAAGTCTTATATTTTAGTTTTTTACACAGGCATAAAACTACAAGAGGAAAAAAATATGAAGTAAAACAAAGATAAATACAAGGTCTTCTGGAGATAGAAAACTTCACCATGATCAACAAGCATTTCCAGAAAACTGATAATACATTTTCAGAAAACAATTTGGAGGGGGGTGCATGAAGGCCCAGGCTCAAATACAACATTTACAATGTGCAGTTTCATTTAAAGCATGAAAGAACTTGGTTTATTCACTCATTTGTTCACTCATTCATTCACAATATTTATTAAAGAACCTATTATGTGCCAGGAACTGGAGATGTAAAAGGTAAAGAAAGGGGGCTGGCCAGTTAGCTCAGTTGGTTAGAGAGTGGTACTGATGACACCAAGGTCCAGGGTTTGATTCCTGAACTGGCCAGCTCCAAAAAAAGGGGGGGGGGGCGGGGGATAGAAAGGTAGGACTTCTGCTCATTTGGAGACTATGTTTTAGTAGGAGTGGGACAATAAGCAAACAAACACAAGCTAATTTCAGCTTGTGATAAATTGCTATGAAGAAAATAAACAGGGAGCTGTATCTGGGGAAGTCTACATGAAGTGTGGGGTCAAGGAAGGCTCTCTGGGGAGGTGATATTTGACGTGAGAAAGAAAAGGAAGTACCAAGTCTGGTTCCAATTTCCTTCCAACTAAAACCTTTTGAATTCTTTTCTGACCAGAACCTTGGGAGTGGGCAGTAAATTCCTTATTTCTATTCTCCTCAGTACAAACAAATGAGAATGAGAGGGTTCCCAATCCCTAGCATGGAATGACCTGGCTTGGAAAAATCATCCAAAGTGAACAGAAGGAAACCCGCAAGTAAAGAAAGCTTCGTGTTCCTGTTTCTTATGAGAACGGCAGTTTTGCTGTTTGGTAATATAAAGGAACAGTAATGATCTGATATGGTGGTCTTTACACAGAAAAACATATTCTTATTGGCATTTTCTAATACAAAGGGAGCAGTGACAAGATGAAGTATAGAATAAAATCTAGGTAGCAATCTGCCAGCTCATTTACTTAAAACAGTCATTAAGCATTTTAAATACAAATTTCCAAACTCCAAAATATTCCTTGTTAAGATACACAAAAGTAGAAAAACAAACATGGGTACATTTTTTCCTAAATTTTTATATTTATTACTGGCATTAACATCTCTACTCCAATTTACTAGATTTGGGGAGAAAAGTGCTGTTCAAAGCTCTATTATGCCACTTGCCAAACAGCACACCATGTAAACGACCAGATATTTCAGCAATTTTTCAGTGCTTTCTCCCTAGCCAGAGACCTAAAGCCAAATATATTAGTTCAACATTATTACTAGAGAAAAATGAAGACAAAAGATTCACTGAGTATTTAGATTAGAACACCTTCGTTATAAAGATAAAGAAGTGAAGCACAAAAAGGATTAATAATTACCCAACATCAAACAAATGAGGAAACATTAGGCATCCAAACTCTCAGCCCAGGACTTCAGTGTTTTTCAAAAGCAAAATCCACAGTTTGCAACTAGCACTTCATAAAAAAAACAAGATAAAATAGAAACCATTTGAGTAGACCATACACACTACAGATTTTGTTTTGTGAATCTCTTCTCTCAGTTTACTTATTTATTTACTTTTTACATACACAGACACATGCAAACACTTATACATCTACGGAGTCCTGATATAGAAAAATCTCTTTCTATGGGTTGTAGTCAAGAAGTTGAAAAAACACTGCATTTTTCACACTGTCTGTCATGAAGTACTTCCTTATATTTTTATGCAAACATTGCAATGGCAACATTAAAAACATTAATAGATGTTGGTTGGAGTAAGGTGTTGATAACAAGGTCAAGGGTTTAGATCCCAGTAAGAGGCACAAAACGAAACCAAAAAAAAATTAATAAGGGCAGGCCCGTGGCTCACTTAAGAGAGTGTGGTGCTGATAACACCAACGCTGTGGGTTTGGATCCCTATATAGGGATGGCCAGTTGGCTCACTTGGGAGAGTGTGGTGCTGACAACACCAAGTTAAGGGTTAGGATCCCCTTACTGGTCATCTTAAAAAAAAATAATAATAATAATAATAATAATAATAACAGATGGCTAATACTACCATAAAATCTATCATTCGAATCCCATTATTGCAATTATTCAGTGCTCTGCTTTTTGTACTGTTATGACTATAGCAAAAGTACAGCAATAGCAGCAACAAGCAAGCAGAAAAGCTCTTACTCTGCCAAAGGTGCTACAAGAATCACTACCTATTAGTCTCCAAAAGAATTTACAACTACAGAGGCATATATTTATTACAAAAAGACAGAGTATGTTTACCAGAGCTCAGAAGTTCAGACAGTTCTCTCCAAATAAGACTAAGAAAAAAGCCCTCCACAGACTTGACCGTGGAATGTAATTTCAGGGAAAAAGGCCCATTCCTAAAATATTTTCTCTACATAATATTGCCTGAGGCTAACATCTGGGGGAAAAAAATTAACATAGGGCACAGCCATCCACTCCATAATTAGGTCTAAGATTTAAAATGCACTGACTTAAAAGAAGCTACACTAAAATTCCAGCTAAGATACAAAAATATGAATCTCAAGATATCAGATCATTTTTAGATGGCATATTTGGGAGAGGGAGGAGAAGACAAAAGCACTGAAGATAACAAAAACAGATAAAAGAAATAGGGTAAAGTAGGGCTGAAATAAAAATAGACAATATTAGGGCAAAAGGAAAACTACTTAATCACTATACTACGGTAAAAGTTTAATCTAAAATATATTATGCAGTACTAGATTCTTCAATCACAAAGCTTGACCTGCCTACAGCCTCAGCCAATCATGTTTTGTGTCACATAACCCCATATCCCCTTCCACAGCTAAGTAGACTACCATTGGGCACCCTTGCCAGGGGCCTCTTACAAAGAGGCCCCAGAGAAAACCAGGGGGTTGGCAGAAGGAGGTAAAGGAGAAGAATTCACAAAAAGAAACAATGAAGTTGGGTTAGGGGATTGACAAGCTAAAGTTATGAAGAAGCAGGTATAATAGGTACAGAAGCTATGAGCAAAAAAGAAATATAGAGGCAGAAGAAAGAGAATTTAAAATGTCAAGAATGCAGAGAAAAGATACACAGCTGATGAGGGAGATGAACTGGTTGGTAGAGATTTCTGCCAGCTTTACAGTTCTTTCATGTTGTATTCCTTTTCTCAAGGTGGTTTGAGAGAACTATATGCCCTGGAGCAAAAAAAAAAACACAATGCCCTAAGACACAAATAAATAACTAAAAGGGTTTACATCAAATTTTTTCCCACGTTAAGAACAACCTCTAAAAACCATTATCATTGAAAGTCTGAGCAAGAAGAGTCCTTGGAATCAGACCAGTTCACTATTTTAGAAATGAAGAAATTAAGGACCACAAAGTAACCTAAGGTTACACAGACACAGAGCTAACAGAAGAACCAAGGTCCCGTAGTCATTACTCTCTGTCCTACACTGCGCTAAATAACACCAACACAGAAACGTTTTCCTCAAAGGCTTTCTGTTATCCTTATGATATACCTTCATTAGATTTCTCCTTTTCTTTCTCATATATATTTCTTAAAAATTCATCTGTCACTAAAGACATTACACGGACAAATCATCAGACCCAATAGCTTTCCCCCCCCCCCTCGTCTTACAATTTAAGACGTTTTTCAGGACATGTTATTTCACATATTGCACAATAGTGTTTGAACTCAAAGCAGTAAAAGGCACACATTTTAAAATGAAAAATAAATTTCAACTAAGAACCAGAAAAACGTGACATCACCAATGTCAGTAAAATTTAGGAGAACAGCCAAAACTGAAGAGTTTCACGAATGTAAAATTTTTCAAGTCATTCCTTATCCAATTTACTGCATTCATTCAACATGTCTTGAGAGCAAAAACTACAACTTGGAAAAAATCCCAAAGGGGGGAAATTATTAGCATGTGAGAAAGTGTAGAGAGGGACAGAAAAAAGTTGACGTACAGTAAAGATGGTGCAGAACACCTAGATTGCTTACTCTAACAAAACAAACACATAAGCTCCTCTAAAGATCCCCGAAGGACACAGTTGCGACAGCTGGGGGGGGGGCGGGGGAGGTGAATAAGTCCTTGTATCTCTAAAGCTGATCCACAAAAAAGCAGACTCATCAATTTCCTAAGACAATTCTCAGCCATCTTAAAACAGTGGAAATTAAGACGGCATGTTTTAAAGAATTCTTTGCTTAGGCTGAAGGTAAACAAAGTATAAAGTGAAGAACATACTACCTAGGGTGCTAATGATTACACAAAGAAAACCACAAAACTCTAAAGTCCAGAGGCCACTTCAGTCGTAAACAATAATAAGTATCACATTCAAAGAATCTTCTCATCAAATGAAGAACTAACGACGTTATAGATATATTATTTCTTGATTCTAACAACTAAAAGGTGGGTGTTGTTATCTGCATTTGATGGATGGGAAAACTCCGGCTTAGAGCCTCTAATTCACTAAATTCACAAAGGCAGGCAGTGACATCAGAATTCGAACCCAGGCTGTCTGAGCCACTGGACACCGCCACAGTCGACACAGCAGTTTAAGTCCATCCTTACCAGTCACCCAGGAGATGAGCTCCGAAGGAGTTAAAAAGGGGCATTTGACTTTCTCTCTCTCCCAAAGTAGAACAGAACTGAGCTGTCAAAAACAGAAAAAGAAGTGAGTGCGGCTGCCGCCCGGGCTCTCCATTCCCGCAGCTCGGGACGAGCCCGCCCCGCTTGGCTCACGCAGCCGGAGCCACGCTCGGTTCTCTCCCCGGGCCGCCGGGGCCGCGGCTGTCAGCCCCGGAGGGGCAGGGACGCAGCCAGAGGAAAGGACAAAGAGCCCTCCCCGCCGCGGCCGGGGGTGCTCGCCAGTCCCCGAGCCCGGTTGCCGCGACTGCGGCCCCGGCGCAGCGGGGACACGGGCTGGGGGCGCGGCGGGGGAGG